TCCATAAGACAGTTTTAAAACACTGGGCCAAATTCATCCCTAGCAAAACACACTGTAGTCAATGGAACTCTGCCAGATATTAATTTGATTCATATAGTACAATGGCATCTAGCGAATACCTTAAAAGTTATTTCAAGGGCTGGGCCTGAGCAAGGAACTGTTAAGAAGCACCGTACAGGTAAAAATGATCATCTACTGGACTGGACTTTAAGAGACCTGAGTTCAGTTCCTGGTCCTACCACAGACTTCTTGTATTATGCCAGGCTAGTCACTTAATCTATCCTGAACCTCAGTTTCCCCATCCAAAAAATGGGGATAACACCTGTTTCACAGGAATGTTGAGAGGATAAAACCCATTAATGACTGTGAGGTGCTCACATATTACAGAGAATCAGTAAGCAATGAGACTGAAACACCATGTAAGATCTTCTGGTGATTTATTCAGTGTAAGGGTTTTGTTCAATTTCTTTTACTGAATAAATAGTTAAAAAAAAACCAACTACCCCCCAAATCCCCGGAGGATGCTGAATCTGCTGATAGCAAGCATGCCCAATAAAAACATTGGGACTGCTTCACACCTAGGGTGTCATAGTACCATCTGCTGGTTCTCAGGAATTTTTTGTCCAAGGAATGCTAAAAGAAACTCCAAACAAGATCAGAAGTGGTAGAATAGAGACTGTCAAGAAAATGCATTAGAAGAGATTCCTTCAAAACTTATTCAGCTGGAGGCAAGGAAGGATGAAAAACAGGAAAGTGCAGAATTTTGGACAGTAATTTCAAATTAAATGAAATCTATGAAGGCAGAATACAAACTAATTTTAAGGGAATTTGACTGTTCACATAGGACACAAAAAAAGAATCCAGAAATGAAGTGTTCCTGCAGCCATAGGTAATCCAGAGCTATTTTCTGTTATGGAAAAAAAAAATCTAGATTCATAACTTCTTGGACAAGACATAGAAGACATGATTATCCCATTTAAAAGGCTCTACATCATTTTTATATGGAAAGATTAAAAATACATCCAGAGGAAACACCTCCATCATAATCCTGCTTGCTTTGTGTACTATAGGAAAAATAGAATTGAATGAGAAGACAGGACATCTTATTCTGGAAGTGAATGTATAAAGAGCTGAAGATTCCATTTTTCCATATGGAAAAACTCAGTTACTTTTGACAGCAATTATATTCTGGGATCAGCCACCACATTACTTTATACTGTTCAAGGCAAGGACAACAGCAAAAGTAATGATGTGGGACTGAAACAAAATAGGGGTAAAGCGGCATCATAGAACAGAGCTACACTATGCCCTATCTTCTATTGGCATCAGGTCCTGAGAGCTTATGCCAATGGTATAAGTTAGAGCTGCTCCATGCAGAAGTCCCAGGGGGCAAGAAGCAGGAGGGGTCCAATGGGGCCAGGGGCCGGGCTGGGCTATGCCTGGCTGTTTGGGGAGGCACAATCTCCCCTAACCAGCCCTCCATACAATTTTGGAAACCCGATGCAGCCCTCAGGCCAAAAAGTTTGCCCACCCCTGCCCAAGATAATGGATACTAACACATCCTAGCTATTTGACACACAGTAGTCTTGGTTTACTGAAAGTGCCAGTTATTAAAATTAAGACAATTGCATCTCTGCTTAAGTTTAACAGCCTATGTTTCATCTTCTTAGAGAAAATGAAAGCCATGGACACGAACTATAAATAAATAACCATGATTTCTAAGTTGAGGGTGTGGGCTGTATAATGCTTACTGTACTTTTGGATACCTACTTGATCTATGCACCACAATTGCATAAATACTGCATTTCCTTAAAGTCTGCATTTAAATAGTGGATGAAATTCTTTTATTATGGAATTGGGTGTAAAATATACAGCAATTGAACTGAAGCTACAGGGGAAGCATAGGTGTGCCAGGACATTAGTTTATGGTGGAATTTAGCCAAAACAGAAGGATTACCACTTGCAAAATGTGCCAGGAAATCTCAGGGCTACAGGTATTCATTGCCTCAGTTTTGCTTCACATAAAGATGCGTTTCTTAGCACAGTGTGAGGATATTGATTCAGTAGGCAATCAGAGAGAAGACTAGTACTTGCTGAGTCATCAAAACCACTTGCTTTAACACCTGGGTTATCTAGTAAATGAGCACTGAACAACCTAGCAGATACGCCTCATAAAATATGCAGGTTTCAGAGTAGCAGCCGTGTTAGTCTGTATCCGCAAAAAGAAGAACAGGAGTACTTGTGGCACCTTAGAGACTAACAAATTTATTAGAGCATAAGCTTTCGTGGACTACAGCCCACTTCCGAAGAAGTGGGCTGTAGTCCACGAAAGCTTATAAAATATGCAGTAAACATTTAATTATGAAAGCATTAAGGCCAACAAGAAGTGTGATTAAAAGTACCTTTGTTTTGCTCTACAGATCCTACCATCTAATGAAAATGATTGACATACGTTGTTGGCAAAAACTATGATTTACAGTGAAAATTGTATTAACTCTCTCAATATCAAGTCCAGAAGCAGAGAGAAACCTTTTAGCTAGAACACACACACAAAAAAAAATCATATTGAACTTGAGGCTAACTATGGGCATGGTGCTTTTTGCTATCAAAACTGCAGGAAGCTTTAGGTGTTCATACAGGGCATATACACACACCCGAAGTGCATCATATATCAAGTGTTCCTGTGTAGCAGTCTTACAATTCAATAGAGAAACACTTATGAAACAGCTAAAAGATTAGGCCGTTGTACACTGTCAAAAGATTAGACTAGTAACATTGTCCATTGTTCTGGATTTTTTTTAAGTGTCAAGGTGCATAGTTAGATGTAATTACAGCAGATTTGTGAAGAATTTCAAATATTTCCAATGCTTTAAAAACCATACATTTTAAAAATGGAATCTGCTTTCAGATGTACCTCTTATTTTCAGATTTTTTCATCCAAGGTTTAATATTGACCTCAGAACTGAGGAGTTTACTTACACACACACACTAAAGTAAGTCTTCCCTCAGTTGTCACTGAGAACTAGTCACTTTCAATTTAAAAAAAAAAAAATAGAACCACAACTGTTCAAGTTGTGATCAATTCAAATTCAAGGATTTTCCTAGTTCCACCTAAAGGTGGGTAGCTGGCTGGCTCTGTAGGGAAGCATATGATCTGGTCCTAGCAGCAGCAGAAGTTTTGCTAAGAGCCAGCCTACAGTAGGGAGGGCTGAGTTGGGCCTCTCTGTTTTAGTGAGCACCCTGCTTTGTCTCTCACCATTTTGGGGTTCTTGGTGTTATTTTGCATTCTTTAAAATAAAATAAAAGTAGTGTCATGTTACAGCCTTCCAACAAGAGTATTTATGTTTTTAAAATTAACATGTGGGTGTGTGCTGTGAACATAACACAATCCCATCACACCACTACATGGTATTCTATTGCTGTTTTAAAAATCAAACTGTAAAAGGTAAAAGTATCTAAAATTAACACTAGTTGTTAAATAGGTCATAATTTGATCACAGCTCTCATTCAGCCAAGCAG